CTTGAGCCCAGGAGTTGGAGGTTGCTGTGAGCTGTGATGCGACGGCACTCTACCCAGGGGGACAGCTTGAGGCTCTGTCTCAAAAAAAGAAAAATCAGCTTCCAATAATGTTTATGTTGGTGGCATCTGACAAAAACAAATGCAAAATACAGGCCTGTCCATAAAGTTCATATGCGATTTTAAATGGCGTACAATTTTTTTAAATGCACATGCACTTTATAGACACCCTGTACTGTTTAGAGGCTACTTCACTCAAACCAGGACTGGCAGATTTCATGGAGATTAAGCCCTGGTGAATATACTCACAACCCAAAATTACAAAAACACAGGAGGACCTACTATAAACAAGAGTAAGGCAGAAGCAAAAAGCAGGAAAAGAAGACAGCAAGAACTTGAGATAATGAAATTATAAAATCTAAGATCTCATATTCGAGACATGTAAAATAAAAAAGGATAAAAGTATAGTAAAAACAGGCCAGTCACTGTGGCTCATGGCTATAAACATCCAGCACTTTGGGAGGCCAAGATGAGATTATTTGAAGACTTTGAGACCTGCCTGGAAAAATATAGCAAAACTTTGTCTCTACAAAAAGGAAAATATTAGCCAGATGTGGTGGCATGCACCTGTAGTCCCAGCTACTCGGGAGGCAGAGAAAAGAGGATCTCTTGAGCCCAGGAGTTCCAGGTCACAGTGAGCTATGATTGTATCACTACACTCTAGTCTTAGCAATAAAGATCTTATCTCTTAAACAAAAACAGCTAAACATTATTTAAGAAACTATTTATGTTAAGAACAAAAATATAAAGTATAAGGCCAGGTGCTGTGGCTCATGCCTATAATCCTAGCACTCTGGGAGGCTGAGGGAGGTGACATGTTCGAGCTCAGAATTTCAAGACCAGCCTGAACAACAGCAAGACCCAGTCTCTAAAAACATAGCTGGGCATTGTGGTTGGCACCTGTAGTCCCAGCTACTTGGGAGGCAGAGGCCAAAGAACCACCTGAACCCAAAAGTTTGAGCTACGATGCCCTGGCACCCTACTGAGCGTGACAAAGTAGACTCTGTCTCAAAAAATAAATAAATAAATCTATATACACATATATATAAAGCATACAGGAATAGTTCATAAAAGAGGCTCGGCGCCTATAGCTCAACCGGCTAAGGCGCCAGCCACGTACACCTAAGGTGGCGGGTTTGAATCCCCAGCCCGGACCCGCCAAACAACAA